TGAGGCTATTCAGATACGCACTGAAACTACATTTCTGAGAGATCACTTTCTTGTTAATGAAATTTCGAGGGTTAAAATTTGCTAACAGACAGCGATAAAGGCAATTATGTTGGACATTTGAAGTGGTGGAACACGTGCCAGCCAACCAGAAATCTCTTGTCACAACACTTGCTTCATAATATTGTATATAACAACCATTGTGCTGCACAATTACACTATCTATAAACTATGTTTTGCCCCCAAATAGATATGTATCAAGGCAAAATACTCTCGTAGTCCACTCACACAGATATAATTGTGCAATGCTTAGGCTTAAGTGGATAAATTATGAACAGATTGGCAGGGTTTGGGTTTCCTAGTGGGCCCGTTTTTGTGGTTTTGCCAGCTCTTAAAGTGCATATAATAATGGCTCTGTATTATCAGCGTTACTGTGGCATTTAGAAGCCCCAGGCCCATTCTTTCAGGCACTCTGTAAAAATACAGCAGTGAGATCATTTCAGCCTCCAAAGAAATTACCTGTCAAATGCATGGCTTCATTTAGCACTTTAGTATAATTCTAAGACACATGTAAGTACAATAAGAAAGGTTGAGGTTGTGGTAAATAGATCAGCTATCTCTATTTTTTTCTAAACTTTAGCATTCTTCAGTAACATGCTATTCTAAAAACAACATCTTAATCCATAAAAATATACCAGCAAAGCAGTTTCCCCTTTCTGATGACACACCTTACCCTAGCTCACCCGGATTCAGTATGATGGGTTTTGTTCCTAAGTATTAACAATTTCACATTCAGATCAGTGAGTAGGCTACACAGGGCAATGGTATCACCTTCATGAGGATAAAGATTAATTTCTTACAGGCCAGACTACCAACTCTTCACAGAGAGCACGACAACTGAATAAAGAACACCAGGAACTAGTTTTAGTAAGAAGGGCAGTGATGGTTAGAAGCTGCCAAACTCCTACCACAGGAATCACTTTCTTTGTTGCCTAAAGACACAACACAAAACAAAAAGGAAATAAGAAAAGACGTAATCTCCTTAGAAATTAAAAAAGGAATCTTAACAGGTGTATAAAGCAGGTTTATCTGTGTTTGGGATATGAGTTATAGAACTTTTAAACTGTAAAGGCATTTTAAAATGTAGCTTTTTCTGACCAAGTCAGGCACTAGGACCTCCAGTGTGTTTTCCTTACCTTAGCCGTGAGGAAGGCCTTTTTGTCCGTTACATCCATGCATGTAATCAGTGATTGTGCCCATTGTAAAACTCAGATTCACCATCTGTACGCTCCCAAGTGGCTAGACGAGAACTAAAACCCCATCCCTATGGGATTAATCTGCAATTTCACACTAAATGATTTTTAAGAATAATTTGTTACGATACAGTATTCTAAAAAAAAAAAAAGTCGGTGCTTTTGCATTTTAATAAAAAGAGGAAGCTTGTAAGTTTCCTATATTTAAATGGGTTGTATGAAACCCACTTTCACTTTAGTTTCATTTAGACATGAAAATGTCTAAGGAAAAGTTCCTTTTGGTAATTGAAACAGTTGCTTTTTATTTCTGAGGGAAAAAATGCAAAACCAAATTCATGATCTGTGTGCTGAGAAGGGGATAAAGTGAAAATTATTTCTGGTTTTGTTCTGGGTCTGGGACTTTGCATCATTAAGCTGCAGTTTATAATGTAAAGAGAATATTTCAGTCTTGTACTAAGGGGAATGAAGGGATGAATTGTGAAGGCACTGCGTGGAGGTAAAGAATCCACTTTCACATAAAACAAAGCTGGCTTGAAGTGTGCAAGGAAATTATTCCTTTTTAAGAAGCACGAACTGCTTTTAGAAGCACCCCATTTCACTAAGGAGAGGGCACTGATCTCAGTTTTTACCATTTTTTTTTTTCTCCACAGATTTTAGATACCCAGCTGAGAAGGATGAAAACTGCAACCAGAGAACATGCCAAGCCAGGACTAAAAGACTGAGGGTCTGGACACGTTAAAGTCCTTTTACAAAAACAATGATGTAAAAACATGAAGCAGCTTTTCAGCCTTTCTGCATTCAACTGTGATAACCAGTCCAAATTGGTTTGAGGAAGGGGAAATATTTTGATTTTATAGCCTGACTAGATGGAACACAGAGGTCATCAAAACCTTCACTGAGTTATCACAGATGACTTTTGAGGGTTCCTCAACTCTCCCTTGCTTTTTCTGACTTACCTCCTAAAATATACTTGAGAGTGAGGAAAATAAAACTTTAGTTACTCCAAAGAAGGGAAGAATTTAGTTGCTGAGCATTATGGTATTTTAAAGGCTACATGTGGTTTTCCGTGCCCCAAAATAAATTAGATAGAATCTGGCAGAACAGAAGTACCTAACACATTATTTGCTAATATTCACTACACAAATAGCTTCAATTGTGTCAGGTGCACTTGACCCATTCTTTAACTTAGACAAGACTATAAACAAAAACAGTAATTGTCCACATCCTGTATTCTCTCATTTTAAAACGTGTAAAAGGAACCCAGCTAATGTGTGTAAGAAAACCATACACAACAATATCCCTTTTCTTGCTATTGTCATGCTATTCTCAGACTGCACAATACCTTCAGTGTAACATTAACTGTGTGAGAAAACACTTAAAACATGGGAAAAATGACTACAGTCAGTCTCAGAATCCAATCATCAACTTGCAGTTTACCTGCATTCAAACTTCAAGATGCCATCTCTTAATACAAAAGAATCAAAGAATTTCTGAAGAAAAACATAAGGAGGTAACAGAAAATGAAACAAAACAAAACAAATAACAACAACAACAACAAAACATAGTAACTTCTAAGGCCAGTTGTTTATTGAGGAAACTTTGTGTTTTAAAACTGTTTCATAGGTTTAACAATGTTTCAGCTGGTAACTGGCAAACTCTACCACCTGCTCTGCTTAACAGTAGTGAAAACACCAGCCTGCAAGTAATTATGTTTGTGTTTGGCAAGGAGTACTACATGTTACTTTCATGGAGTCAAAGAGTAATTTAGGTTGGAAGGGATCTCCAAAGGTCTCTGCACAAAACCTCTGCTCAAAGCAGGGCCAAAGCAGACTGATTTGATCAGAGCTCTGTCCAGCCAAATTTTAAAAGTATCTCCAAGGGCTGAGATTCACCATCCTTCTGTGCCCTTGTGAAAACTTCTTCATAATGTTTAACCAGAACTTTCCTTGTTGCAACTTGCTAAGTACTCTTCTCTGTGTTTGGTGAACTAAGCTCTTTATCCCTTTACATTTCAGTTTAAGCTCCCCTAGTGAGCAAGACAGGTACAAACTACCTACCCGTCTACTTCATACCTGTTATAATCCGGCCCTTCCAAGCAGGAGGTATGCAAATCACCTGAATGAGAGAAACAAATCTGTACGTTATATGCATTACTACAAGGAAACCAGCCGAGCAGAAAGTTCAACACAATGGCCAAAGTGAATTCTCAGGAATTCTAAAAGAAATATCAGGTTTTATCTTTACCTCTCCTACAAATATTTTAGCTACAGGAACAAAAAAAAAAATGTTTTTAAGTTGCAAGGTAAGATTATAAAGACTGTAAGTAGACCTTAAGTTAAAAAACAACAACAAAAAAAAACAAAAACAACAGTAAAACATATCACTGCAATTTAGGAAACACTTGCAACTGTGCGAAATCTATGCCTTAGGCTCCAGCAGTACTGTTACTTTTTTTAATGCTCCTATTTGGCTCTCCAGATGTGCCTGGGATAGGCCCTGCTGCTAAGAAGTATTGATTACTCTCCATTTCTATTGACAGTAATTAACAGAGGGAGTTTTGATGCTCATCAAAGTGAACAGATTCTCATTAAGAGCAGAAGAAAAGATCTCCCCTGCCTTCACATTCCATTCCCTCTGTACCACATGGCAAACTGTCAGGCATAAGCAAACAGATTTCTCATGAGATCTGCATTTTCATTCCACACATGTAAAGTGTTTCCACACTTACACTTTATGCAAAGCCCGAACAACACGGTTTCATCACTGGTTTCAAACCGCTTCCACGCAGAGGCCACCTTTCATGACAAGTAAGGTAGAGACCTGCTTCGATGGGGGATTTACGGGAAGAATAATCTGGTAAAGCAAATCAAGACCCGACAAGCCCAGGCCAATATTTTCTGGGTTTGCCCCTCCACTGGCACTTTTTTTGCCTGTGGTTCAGCCGTTTTGCTCCCATCTCTTATGTGGAGGTAATGCCAGCCTAACCTCACACCTTTAGAGTTCACTTTTGGATGGTGTAGCATGCTTAAAAACATTGAAGAAAGAGGTACAAGCGTGAGTTAGCTTAAACTCCACAGGCACCCCCAGCAGGGAGAGCAGCTTCCCCTCAGCCCCCTTCAGAGGCAAGGCGAAGGGGGGGGGTGGGGTGTTCCCCTCACCCATTTCGTTTTAATTTTTTAAGGTTTCGCTTCTTTAGTTGCCCCTCCGGAGCCCCCTCACCCTGCTTTACACCCGACCCCGGCCACCCTTCTCTTCTCCGGGCCTTTCTCCTCAGAGCCCCGGCGCCTCCCCGCGGTGTGCCCGCCTTTGGGCCCGCCTGACGGAGGGTTCGGGGCCGCCGCTCGCGGGCACCTTCCCGCGGCCGGCCGGGGGGCGGAGGCCGGGCTGAGGAGCGGCGGGCCCGGCGGCGGGCAGAGCGGGGCTGCGGGCGGGGAGAGGGAGAAAAGAGGGAGAGGAGAAGGAGAAGAGAGGGAGAGGAGGGCCCAGGCGCTGCCTCCTCACCGAGAGGGGACCGGAGGAGGCTTGGGGGGGGTCCCTCAGGGGGTCTCCCCCCACACCCGCCGCTTTGAAGGCGCTGAGGCGGCTCGGTGGGTGTGTGTGTGTCCGCCCCCCCCAGTACTAAACGCCCCCAGAAAGTTGCGAGAAGTTGGTTATTTATTTTTAATTAATTACTTTATTTACGAAACTCGGCTCGTTTAGCGTTAATCACAGCCAGGTCTGTGGAGAAAAAAAAGAAAGGAGGGGGGGGTTAATTGAAAGAGGGGGGGGGTTTTGCAGCGCTGCCGGGATACGCCGAGCTCCGCCGGCCCTGCCCCGGCCCTGACCCTGCGGGCGGCCCCGGCCGCGCATGCTCCAGGCTGGACAGCTCCTGAGAGGGAAATTTAAAAACGGGCAGGAGCCAGACCCGGCCCCGCCGCCTTCAGCGCTCCCCACAGCCAGCACCGCGGCCCTCAGCCCCCGAGCCTTCCTCCTCTGCCGGGGGGGGGGCTTCGCCTCACTGAGGGCTTCACCTCCAACCTCTCCCCTCCCCTCACGGAGGGCCCCGAAGCGCCCGGCTGAGCCCCCGCTGAGGGCAACCAGAGGATTCCGAGCCCCCCCCTCCTCTCCTCTTCTTCTTCTTCCTCCTCCTCCTCCTCCTCGAGGGTCGCCAGAGGGACGCCCCGCCGCGCCGGGCCCCCCCCGAGGGCCGCCAGGTTTGTGGGGGCGGTGGGGGGCGGCCAAAGCTCTGCGGGGCCTCTCGGTGTGTGCCCCCCCCCGGGGGGGCTGAGGCAGCGCGGTGAAAGGCTCGAAACCTCCCCAAAAAGGGCACCTTTTTTGGCTGGTCCAGGCGCTGAAGCGGCACCGAAAGCCCTACAGGGGCTGAGGGGGGTCTCCCCCTCCCTCAAAGCCCCTCAAAGCCCCAAATAACGACCTGGTGGGTGATGGTGGGGGGCTCCTTAGGCTCCGTTCCCCTTCAGCCCAGGTGCCTGAGTGGGGATTTTGTTGATTTTCCCCCCCCCAACTCCGGTGCTGAAGTGCTGGATAGCTACCCCACCGTGTGAATGCTTCCTTCCCCTTCTGTTTTCTTCTTGTCTTTTGCGAAGGAGATGATAGAGAGCGATCTCCCGTGCATCATGTCAGGAGGCGTTAGGAACGCAGGGCAGAGCCTCCACCCATCGCAGGAGTACAGGTGAGGTCTCACCCACCCGGCCGCACGCACTGCGCTGCCAGAGCCTGCTGGCTGAGGGTTCTTTAACAGTTTTCATGATTTCCGTACCAAAATGTAGCATGTAGAAATCCTGCTGTCCAAAAAGAGCTAGCTGCGTTACTTCTCTGCGCCAATTTGGCTTTCTAAGGTGGTGACTGCTTATAATGCCTTACTTATTGCAAGTATTCCTGTTTAAAGTGTTTTGGTGCTAAGCCATTTTTGATAAATACACCTTCAGAGCCTCAGGCTGACCTTCTAGTAAGCCCTCTCTACCCTAAGGGCTTTGCCAGACAAGGATATTCTTCCTTAATTATGTAAAAGTTCCCTTTCAGATTGCATTTTGCATTATTACGAAGTAGTCATTGAATGACTACATCACATGCAGCACACGCTGGAAGAGTTTTTCATTAAAACAAGTACTTATGTAGTACTTCAAAGAGCTGACTTATGCCAGAGTTCAGCTACTATCAGTGGGAACAAATCTGGTTTTGCCAGCAGCCTCTGATAATTTGCCTATGCCAATACTGATGCATTTCTCATGTAAAAGTGTTGTTAGAAGTCACAGGACAGTTCTGCACGAATTATAGCACGCTGGGTTAAGCTGGGTTACATCTTGTCACATGATGCCGAGTTCCAAGAAATACGTAACAGCAGAACGTGATCTGGTTCTCACAGTTAAAAACAAAACAAAACCCTTTTTATTGTTTTAAAATAAGGAGTGATGGACTATCACCTTCCTCCCAGCCTGAGGGTGTTGTCACGCGTTTCTGTGCGTAAGAGGGGTCAGCCGCAGGTATTCTTCTAACAGCCTCTTTCTATTCAAAATGCAAACACTGCTCTGCAGCCTCTTGCAGCTCAACAAGTGACTTGTAATTCTCTCTGAAGCCACTGTGGAAAAAAAAGGTTTGTGGAACTCTGTTTTGCTGTTTATGAAAACGCTGTTTGCTATAGGCATTTTGCTGGCTATGTAAATATTTGTAAAGAAATTATTCAGTATTTAATGACGGGTGTGTATGAGAGAGGCTTCTGGGTACTTACGTGTAAGTCTGTACCGGTGCCCTGAAGAACTCACCACCTTAACAAAGACCCTGAGTATGGAGAGAGCTATTCTTTAACTCATAGCTGCAGAAAAACAAAACCACTTTTTTTTACTGAGAAAGATTGAATTTATCTTACTGCCAGCAAAGGAACTGTAAAAGTTTCTCCTTTTATCGGGGTCAGCTGCTTTTTAAAACTACTGTTAATTCTCCGTTAAGCATTTTGAACTCAGCGATCAGAGTTCTCTAACGTTTTCCACCCATTTGTGATTTCTTTACTGCAGTTCTAAAATGAATTATTTGACCTCGTTTAATAGTGGCAAATTCTGATAAAAATGCATAAAATCTGAACTGCACCATAAATGCAGAGCAGTATTTGTCCTACTTCATGAGAAAACACTTTGGATTATGTAAAAGAAAATCTTTTAGACTGAATGATTTTAAGAAAAGAATAGACCTGTCAAATTCTATCAGCTCTGTTTACTCTCCTGCTGTCACCACAGTCCAAGACTGGAACCCACAGTCCTGAGTGCTCCATGGGGGAGCATCAAGGCTCCGCAAAATGGGAATGGCCTCCAATTAGTGAGTGGGAGGCTGGGGCTGTGCTGAGAATACTCTTCTGTCTCACTTGGAATCTTTCAATTGGGCAGTTGGACTTAGAGGAGACCGGGCTTTCCTGGGAGGCTGCAGGAAGAAACACTGAAAAGGGAGAGAGCGCGTGTGCATGTGGGCAGGAGATCAAATCAGTAAATGCCAACACGTTTTCCTGCATTTATGCATAGAGCCTGAAACTATGGGTTTGCTTGTTTTTTAAAAAAAAAAAAAAAAAAGTAGGAAAAAATGATTTTAGCAGACATTAGAATTCTCTGGATCTAAAGCATCTACAGTAAATTTGAGGTAGCAGATAGCAGCCTAATCCTCACGACTACTCTGTGCAAAGTCCAAGCAGTTTTTGCACCATAATAAAATGATTTTAGACAAATATCTGTTCTGCAGATTCAGCTGTGGGATATAAAACATCACACTCTATAGGAATGATTAAGGGCCATCATAGCTTCTCCAAGTCCTATGTTGTTATGGAGCTTTCACTGCCTGGCTATCAGTGCAAAGCAAAACTTGATACTAGCAGATTTTCCCAAAGAAAATACTGCTTCCGTCACTGTTTTCATAATTGTAGTGGTGACAAACATTTCTAACGATTTCATGTGACATTTCAGGGAATAAAGGCAGGGAATGATAACACTTGGAGTTTTTAAACACTTTACTAACACTTTGTTAATTACAATTAAAAACCTAATATTATGTTTTAGTGTAAATATTTTGTTATCAACATCAAAGCAATAAGCAGGGTACAAGCGTACCGTGCAATGGTGCACTTGTGGTTATCTCAGCACAAAGCTGTGTGTTTTATAGGAGCTGACTCAAAGCTACCAAAGCAGTGGAGAGCTCCCATGGTCTTCAGTGGGTTTGGAGCTGGTCCTTGAGATTCAGTTCATGAGTGTTGTGGTCTTCTTGCAGTATTTTTTTTCCCTGAAATTTGCAGTTTATCTTCATGCAGTCTAGTTTAATTGGTGCAAGAGAAGTAGAAGATCTATGGCAATGAATGCAAGTGCAGAATCAGATTTACTGTGAAGATCTTTAGCATTAGCAGCCCCAGTGAGGCAGATGAGGTTAGAGTAACGGATTTACAACACTTTACTTTTGGCTTGGCTAAAGTGGACTTGAACTCCAGCAGCTCAGCATTTCGTGTAAGGACAGTGGTTTTATTCTTTCATTGTATCGTAGCTGTGTATTATGATATACTTCCAACTGACAGAAGCCTTATGTAGTATCTTGAAGGCCTTGTAATGCGTTTTCTATTCACGTTAACCTGGAATCAAGTTCTGAGTAGCAATCCTTTTGGTTGGTCATCAGCAGTTACTCCACCATAAAGCACTTAGCGTGTTAGTGGACTGTATCCCCCTTCATCCCATTTTAATCGTCCCTTTGATTCTTAAATAAATTGCTCTATATTTAGCTGATTAGGCACTCTGATGATTATTTTTTGCTGTAATAATCACTTTATACTACCACAGTTTATCATCAAGTCATGTTTAAAAGGTAAAGGGTTTTCTTGGTTAAGCTGCTCTTCAGTTCTTGTCCCAAACAGTCACGGTGTCACTTTCTCCAGCTATTGATCCAGCAATTACTTAAGACTGGCAGCAAATCCCATAAGCCCTGAATTATCATGTGTATAAATTAATTATACACACATAACCCCTGTGTTTCATATGTTCCAGATGTGACTGCATGCAGGGGTGAAAAAGGGGGACAGTCTTTATGTGATGCCGGGTACCTTTCGGCTCTCCTAAGTGGTAGTCTCATATCTGGGTTTGAACTAGGGAGAGCGAGCTACAGTTTGGGATGTCTGCCAGTCAATCCTGCGGGTAGATGGCGGCTGGGAGTTTGCAAGAAGTAAATTTCTGCAGACAAAAGGTTACAAATGCATAACTAACGACACCGTAATTGTTCCTGAAGAAAATGTCAGTGTCCATTCCCTTGACACCATGTGTGTCTGACGGAGTGAGATAATGACTCGATGTGTCGGAGGAATTTCATCACGGGAGTTGCTTCATTCTTCCAAAAAATGTGAGAAACCTCCTAGGAATCAGTCAAACTCAGGCCGCTGTGGATTGATTTAAGTGGATTAGCTCAACTGTTTCCTATGCAGTTCCTGAAATGTGCTAATCAGTATTAATAAAAAAATAGTGGCCCTTGCTCCTCAGATTGTCTTGTAGTTACTGCCAGAGCTAGGAGGGACTGGTTTGTATCCAGGCACTATCCCATGGGCTTCTGTTTCCAGTGAAACCAGAACCGAGCTCCTGTGTTACCTCACAAAAGGTGCTTGACCTCCAGCTCAAGACAAGGAAGCAGAAAAGGAATCTGTATCTTTTCAGCATTCCTCTGAGGAAGCTCCCGTGCTCAGGGCACATCGCTCTTATTTTACCCATTGACAAAAACCTCCCCTGCACGGAAAGCAGAGTTGCTGGGTGACCACAGGAGTGACTAAGGCAAGGGAGACAGGTTCTTGCACCACTGCAAAACACGGGATGGTGTATTCTGTGTTCTAAATCAGTTCAGTGCTAATAAACCACAGCTGAAGCAATGTTAAAGGAAAAAAAATAGCTTCCCTGGTAGACAAGACTTGATTTTTACAGAAAACATTCGAGTAGTGTCAGATACTTCAACACATTTTTGCACCAGGAGAAACTGATTTTGACATTAGTCACAGCAGATTTTTTTTTTTTTTAACTTTATTTAAACAAAACAGATTGTAGATGAAGATACAGGCTGCGTTTGGCAAATCTCACTCTATGGGAAGAAGGGATGATTGTGTGGGCAAAGCAGAGCAAGGAGTGAGCGCCTGGGAGTTCGGGGCTGATGTTGCTGCTAACTTCCTCTTAGGCTTAAGCAAATCGTGCAGGTCACTCGTAATTCAGTTTCCCTTCATCCCAGACCGAAATGATGTAACGGGGTGTTGGGAAACCCCAAGCCGAGATGTATAAAAGTCTCCAAGAGCATGTATAGCTGGATCTGTTAGAGCGTAAGTGTCTTTGTGGGAGGTTTTTGGAGAATCGTCTTCTCTTCTGCACCATGGTGTAAGGCAAGGAGAACAGCAACACCTGACGGGGTAATTGTGTTATTTGCTTTTTCCTTGCTAGCTTTGGTTCATCTAATCCAAAGTATCCTGAGTTGTAGCTGAGGAGAGATGTTCTGGCTGTCCCCTGAAAGCTGCCTAATTTCTGTTCTTGTTTCCAGCAAATCCAGAAATTGCTAGAAGAACTTGTAGGCAGGGAGGAGAAAGGCAGGCTAGATATTTGGGACTGGATGGGTGGCGTGACTTCAAAAGGCAAGGTGGAACTGCAGAGTAAAGCAGTGGTGAGAGCTGCTGGCTGTGAGCAGGTGAGGAGCTGGTGCAGGAACGGGGAGGAAGGAGGCAGATGGTTGTGGAGCCTGGAAAACAGAACCTGCAGGGAAAACACCTGCAGAGGGGGAGAGTGCGAGGAGGAGTGTGTGGAGGGAAAGAGCAGGACAGATGGGATGAGGAGCAGAAGGAGATGGGGAAGTTGACTCCTTTAATAAAAGAGAGTTCAGCTGTCTCCATGGTGAGAAATAGAGTCACAAACATAAATATTTTCCCTGTGTTGTTTTACATAAGGGAAATTGTTGTGCTTGTTCTAAGGACCTTGCGTAACCCCAGACAAAAGCAAACAGTTTCTCATAACTGCTTCCAGAATGGGTTTTCTGAGGACTTCTCCAGTTTAGTTGTCACTCACTGGGTGAACTGTTGCAAACAGCTAATTAAGGACCTATCACCCTGATTGCTTCGACTTGTTGAACAGTTCCATTGCTTGTGCATGAGCAAAAAGCTCAGGAGTGCTAGAAATGGTAACAAAAATTGTCTATTGAGTGAGAGGCATCCTGAAACTGTGCTTGAAGCTGAACATGCCAAGTGCAGCCACAATGTCTGGTCTCAATTTATTTAGAACAGATGCAATTGAGAGAGCCCGTAGCACTAGATTCACCCTACAACATCAACATTTTGAGTGCTTGGCATCTTTTAGGGGCGTGCTCCGAGCAGGCAGAGCCCCCTGAAGTGTGGGAGGTTCAGGGTGCACAGCAGGGTGTAGCTTCCCGTGCCGTATCACAAGGAATGCCCCGTTATTGGCTGAACCACCTGGAGATGAAATATTTTAGGGTGTGCTGGTCACTGCCAAGCTTTTCTTTAGTCTCAGCAGACGTGTTTGGTGGACTTTCTGTAATAGTGCTGAAGGTTCCTGTGCTCTCCAGCGCTGAGTTCCTCGCACAACAGAGCCTGTGAGCGTGGAAGAGGGGAGTTCACACTGACAGCAGGCTGCGGTGACCACCACGTTACATCCAGCTCATTAGGTCCAGCTGCGTTAGAACAACTCAACGCAAGGAAAGATGCTAAGGTCAGGTGTACAAATACACAGCCCAATTCTTTTCTTATGCTGCAGGCTTCTGCAAGGCGGTGCCAGGAATGAATCTTTCCCTGTAGCTGGGTGCTCTGTTGGTGTCTCCTGCCGGTGCCACGTTAACCATTCAAAACAGCAGATGTGCCAGCAGCACACGTGTGTGTGAGGGGAAGAAATTGAGCTTAGGTACGTGTAACAAGTGGTTTTGCACTGCTGACAGGCTCTTGTGAGCTTGGTCAGGTGTGCATCCAGTGCAGGACTCCAATTCTTCAGTGATTCCTGGCAGGAAACTCTGGAGCTCAGCATAAGGAGGTCTGGAAAGGGGACTCATTTTAACGGCCGCTTTTCCTGTTTCAAGTAAACTTTCTGTGGGCTGGCTGCTGGCCAAGGGCTATAGGTAAATATTTTGGGCAATGTGTGGCAGAGCAGACAGCAAAGACAAACGTTAGCACTGAGCACTGCAGCATCATGTACCGCAGCATGACTCCTCACCATCGTGTGGAGTCTTACAGATGTCGTGGCCTTTCTAGGAGAGAAACACAATGAAACTGAAGGGTTTTCCTGCAGAGATCTGCAAGGAGAGGGGTAAAAAAGGAGTTGATAATTTCACCACACCTTTAAAAACTAACACTGGGTTTGCAACACGTTTGGCATGGAGGGAGCCTTTCTGCACAGCTCGGCGTGTGTAGCAGGCAGCCCTGGGGAATGTGCAGCTGGGGACACTCTGGGCAGTGTGCATTAATTACAGCGTATCACTATTTATCTCATTTACATGCCTTGAAAGGAAATGGCTGCTTTTACTACAGTGCCCCATTGTGCCAGGGCTGTGAACACCCATCTAAAGACACGATCTCTGACTCCTGAAGTTTACCCTCCAATGCAAGATGAAAGGGATGGTGGAGGGGAACAGAATCAGGGAACAGGAAATCACAGCCTGTATTTATCCATCTGTAGCTGGCCTGGCACAGCCCATTTTGCAGGTCGGATAGTTTGAACCCCAAGAGATTAAAATATTAGGTACTACTGTGCACAACTCTCCTTCCAGAGACAGTTAGCTCAGCGTTTCTCCCTGAAAGCTGGACACACACTGAGCCTGCGTACTGAGATAAGCTGCTTTTAGCTGGGCATTTAAACACCTCTGTTGGACAGCAGTGGGTGTGCTGTGAGCAGCCTCACCTTCGTTAAGGTGTATGAAATTTCAGCATTCATTGTGAGGACAACCAGAAGAATAGTCCTTAAATGTGAAATATTTATTTTAGTCTGATTAAATTTACTTTTAGTCCCATGATCAATGAAGACAGTTGTTCTGTAAGTTATTCTGTGTGCGTGAGCAGCAGGGGTGACTGTAAAAGGACTGTAAGATTGATTTCAAAGAGCTGTGCTGTAGTAACATGGGGAAGGGAAGAAAATATCGTTGTTTTGGAAAAAGAGCTGGCTTGTGCACCTCGCCTTGTTACTGGATGTTATTGCATCTTGGTATGTGTTCAAAAAGGAGCTTGGTGACTGATATAGACCTAAAAATTCAGCTACTGTCCTTGTCATCACCTGGTCTGCACTGGTCATGGCAGAGCAGGGATGGGATGGGACGCAGCGTGGCCAGGGAGCGATGCTGCCCGAAGCCCCCAGGACGGCGCCCAGCGCCCCTCAGGAGCTGCGTGCGGAGCCCCCGCTGCAAGAACAAGGTGGGGAGACCTCTTCTCCCCGAAAAGACGACGGCTGCTGCTGCTGCGGAGCCCATGCAGGGCTGATCCCCGGGCTGACAGGCGGCGTGTGCGGTGGGTGCTGACCCGCGCCGCCCAGCTGACCCCGGCGCTCGCTGCCCGGGCTGCGGGGAGCAGGGTGCCAGATGGCGGTGTGTGCGCGCTGCGTGGCGGCTGTCATCCGGCCAGATTAATGTGGGGTTGGTAAAAGGGAGGAGGGAGAGAGGAGGGGGGGAAAAAACAATTAAGCAAGAATCCTAAAAAAACAATCGAGGCCACGTGCCACTGGGCAACAGTCGTTGCTCCACAATGGGTTATCGGCTTACAATGAAGGGGGCCAACTGTTGCAAACGACATGAGCCTGCCCAGTTTTCAAATCATTTAATGCCCTTGTTTTCTTCCGATCCAGCCAATGTCTGGGCCAGCAGAGCGGTCACCTGACATTCTTTTTATGTATTTAAGTCCCAGGCCTCACAAAATAACTGAACAGGGGTAACCATGGCAATGCTAATTATTGCACTATAACTACAGTAAGAGAAAGAAGCCAGGGTAGGCTGGGAGAGAGGTTCGGAGATGTTTTGGCCAGGATTTGGGCTTTTGGCTCCTGCTCACGAGTGTCTTTTCTTTTGCTTTTTCTTTTCACAGTCTTTTTACAAACAAATACATTAAATTCTGCTTCAAAGATCTACCAGATAATAGTTTGGGGAAGTTTGATGCGTGTTTCTGGAAATCCTGAATAGAGGAGCTGAAAGCTCCTGGGCAGCCAGGCACTACAGCTCTGGCTCTCTCTGTTAAGCTGCTTTGGAACCATGTAAAACCTAAGAGATGCTCCAGCAAGAGACCAGATTTATTTAAGGCTTCTGCATCATTATTTGGCAGCAAACACGCGTTAGTCCATGCAGCTGGCTTTAACATTTCTACGAGAGTGCTCTTTAAAGGCTTTGTTTCAAAAGCAAAACCAACTACATCCAACCAAACTGTTCTTCTGGATGAAAAAGGTGTCTTCTTGGACAGGAATCCTGCTGGGTTTGCCCTGGGTCTCTAATGATATGTCCTAAGTGCTGCTGCACTCCTCAAGATTGCCGTGACTGCTGAGACAAAGTTTAACAGAAGTAAAACAGTTTATCCTTTCATTCATGATAGTTTTTGTTGACTTTAATTGGAGTTTTGACCACACAGAAGCTTGTGAGTACTATGAATGTCTCCCATTATTTCAGTTTTGTACAACACATGCCATCAGAAGCAAAACAAAGGCAGGTGTTAAGGAGCACGCAGAATGTGTCAGAGCAGAGCTTTAAACCAAAAGCAGTCTGTCACAGCTCTGCCTCAGTTTTGTCAGCTAAAGACAGACAGGATGGTCTTGTTTATTCACTCTGTAGCTCTTCATTCAGATCATTTAGTATGTAAAAACTGCCTAAAAGAATTGGTTCACATGCCTCATGGTTCCTTGTAATGTATCAATAACCTCATGTGCCCAAATGGAAGAGATGAACAGCTCATTCTGTAATTTTGTTTATGCAGCAGATCTCTGCCTATCTGTCCCCACCAACGGGTACAGGGGCTGAGAAATGCTCTCTCCAGGTGTTAAAGCCAGCAGCAGGTTCTGGAAGATCTCAGCACAGAAACTTCTTCCAAGGCTGGCTGCTCACCGGATTTCAAGGCTCATGCGAATTTGCCAGGTTAAAAATCCTGACAAGTTTCTTCTCCATCAAGGCCATACACGTGCAATCTTCTGACAAATGTGAAAACAATGAATCAGCTTTGGTTTTGTTTCCAGGCAGTTTCTCTTCCAGGTTCTCATGCTTCCTTCCCCTCCAAATACTGCAAGAGAAGGCTTCTTAATCAAAACATTTTGTATTGTACAAAGCAACACATGATTATGGGCTAAGGACACTGGTGACCAGCTAGCTGTGAAACAAAAGGTCGCATCTGAACTCTGCAAGCAGAATCCCAGCCTGATGTGATTTCCCTGCTGACCTTCATGAGCTCAGGCATCCCAGACATCTCCTGTTTTACCAGGGACAGACTAGCAGCATCTCTGCTCTGTTCTAACCTTTCACGCTATTTTACAGGCTCTTAGCTTCTGACCCCTCCCAGCTGAGCGAAGATGACCTCCCCAGTGACTTGCAGTCCTTGTCGTGGCTGACATCTGTTGATGTTCCTCGTTTACAACAGATGGCCAGTGGAAGAATGGATTTTAGCCTTGGCGCTCAGAATGCATTGCTACAACAGACAGGTAAACTGTCAGGAGGTTAAACAACCGCTCTGGAAATGTCACGGCCTCCTGCCCCTCTTACTTTCCTCCACACATGCCAACTCTCCCATGAGTAGATTTGTTTTAGGTACATTACGTTTCACTTCCTGCCAGAAGACTGGAGGCTGTTGTCTTCTGATAATGAGGATATCGTTAATAGATTTCTTTCATTTGAAGAGGCAGAGTCCTAGCAGTCACAACAGCTGATCTCAGGGTCCGATTGACTGTTCTGCTCAGTGTAGCTGCTGTTGCCTTGTGTGAACTCGGGCCAAGGTATTTAAGACTTGCATTTCAGAGGTTTTCAACAGCCATGAAATTAGGTAATTAATCTTTCTTGTTTGTTTCAACATTGATAAAATTAAGAGCATCTTATTTACCCCATACCTGTTTGCTTCATACAGACTTACAGCATATGTTCACTGAACGCCTTTCTTTTCGGTGTGAACTTTCTGTAGGTAAACACTCTTGCTCCCTAAGGCATTCTGCTGAGAGAGCTCAGTGTATCATCCTGCTTCCTTTAGAGCAGAAATATATCTGGAGTACAAATAGTGCTGAATTTGTGTTTTTTTTTTCCTTTTTTTCTTTAGTAAGATACTGTGTCTGTAGCACCGCTGTGGACTGTTAAACAGCTGTCATCTTTCATTCCCCGCATAACAAGTTTTAGAAGCAGCTGAAGTCATCTTTGCAATTTGTGAAATGTTCAGGGTTCTTTGGGGATGGAAAGCTATAGAGAGGTGTGATTATCCACTCCAGAGCTTAGCTGTGATAACTGCATCTATTAAAAATAAATGTCAGCTCTCTTTTCTGACGTGTACTTTCATGTGAACAGTTATTGCGTTTGCTTTCTCCAAAATAGGTCCTGTGGCAAGCAATATGCACTCCTCAGGAGCACCTGGAGCAATGATTCATGTCCAGGCCAGCCTGCCACAGGGAATCCTGGGTTTGAATTTTATTTCAACACATGGAGCAAATGTAAGAGCAACCCTTGCAACACTTCTTAGGAAAAGATGTTGGTAATTTCAAGACTGACATGTCTGTTGTCTTCATCTCAGCAGATGAGCCAGTACCCTGTAGGTGGGCAGCCATCTCCTGGTTTACAGACACAGCAACAACTCTTCCCTCCTCCTCATTCACAGCAAGTGTTTGCTATGGCCCAGAACACACCACAGGTACTGTTATTTCCTTGTGATCTGTGTCTCAGAGTACCTTCCAAGATCATCTCTAGAACTCTTTCAAAAGAGAAAGAAAATCGCTAAGCCTACATACCCGTGGACATTCTGCACCTGACATTTTCCTTTTTTTCCTTCTGCATGTAGTGCAACCCAGCAGCAATCTACAACCCGCCCTATGGGACCCAGACACATTATTCTCAGCCACGCCTGGCTCCTCACTCTGCCCAGGAACTGCATCCGAAACATTACCCCAAGCCCATCTATTCGTATAGGTGAGTGGGTAACAGCATAGCCCGTTGCTCACAGTGTTCATTGAGGTGATTTTAAATACTGTAAGCACAACAGCATGAGAATATTTGATTCCTTTTGAAGGGAACAAAATTCCCATCATCCACTCAAGAGTCCTGTGGAAACTGCCCATGGTGGGTAGCAGGAACAAATGAGCAGCTGGACAACCAGCATAAAGGTAGAAAAATAACACAGAGGAGTAAAATCTGCAGGATCACAGGGTGACTTCTGAAAACTCCCTGGCTATAGGTTCTGGGGAAGCAGAGCACCACAGGAATCCCATGACCAGCCAGTTGTCTGAGGTTGCTAGACCAGGAGCAGGTGTGATGGGCTGGCTACGTGTATGCAGCCTGCTGCTAAGTGTTTCTCTCTCCTCTAGTTGCTTGATTGCAATGGCTCTGAAGAACAGCAAAACCGGCAGTCTCCCTGTGAGCGAGATCTACAGCTTCATGAAGGAGCACTTCCCCTACTTCAAGGTATGCGTACACCTGCAAGGTGGGGAGTAGAACATCACACATATTGTTCACAACTTAGTTCTCTAACACCTTCCTGCATCTTTCAGACAGCCCCCGATGGCTGGAAGAATTCCGTGCGCCACAACCTGTCCCTCAATAAGTGCTTTGAGAAGGTGGAGAACAAGATGAGCGGCACCTCTCGCAAAGGGTGCCTGTGGGCTCTCAACCCTGCCAAGATTGACAAGATGGAAGAGGAGATGCAGAAGTGGAAGCGGAAGGACTTAGCTGCCATTCACAGGAGCATGGCTAACCCAGGTAGGGATTATACTACACTTTAATTACTTATATGAGAGGCGAGGGTTAAAAATGTCTAGTTTGTCCAGGAATATGTGCATCTTAAGAAATTAGTTCTGTGGCACAGAGCTGGCTGGCACAGAACTCCAGCCTTACAACAGCCTCCTCCTCAAACCTGCACAGCTGAGACCCCCCCCGTGCTCTGCACTGAGTCAAGTCACTGCTGCTGGCCTGAGGCTGCGTGGCAGGGCAACGCTGCTGCAGCTGGAGGCAACCGAACTGATGGTCATGGCTGGAGGCACTCAGCATAAATCAGTCCCCAGGTTTTGAGGTTATCTTTTTCCCCTGTGCTAACCGATCTAGCACATCCAAGACCTTCTGAGGAGTTATGCTGCCTCCAGCGTCAGTATCTATAGTGGCAGGATTTAACTGTTACTCTGCAAAACTCTTTAGTAAGACCTTCTCATTCTTACTTATAAAGACAAGTTTTTGAAGCTTTCTGGAGCTCAATACTGGCAAAATCAACTGGAGGTTTTTGCTGTAAACTCTGTAATATGCAATCAACTGATGAGTAGCATTCTCCTTTGCTTAAAAACAAAAGTGCTGCTGAAACGGTCAGGAGGCTCTCAGATGAATCTTACCCCAAACCAAAGAGTTCAGCGTCCCTGGAAGCAGGAGACCTCCTGAGGATGCTGAGTTCTGCAGCTGCAGGTCAGCTGCCACCAGCAGCAGCTTGGTTGCTCTGTGTAAATCTCATGTGATCATTTCTTCAGCTCTGTTAGGGGTTACCATGGAATTTGACTAGGGTAAGGGTTAAGGGTAGGGAAGTAGATGGCGTTTCTTTACCCTTTGCACAAAGATTGCCTCCTGTGCTGCTTCTCACACAATTACACTGTTTGCCTTCTCAGCTTCACGGCAAAAGTCTGTGGCTGTGCTCACAAGCGAAATGCTTTGACAGGGCCCTGCTTGAACAACGGGGTTAAACTCACTCTTTTCTTCCTTGGGAACGGGTACTGCACGCGCAGAGGAGCTGGACAAGCTGATCACTGACAGACCGGAGAACTGCAGGCGGCCCGGCAAACAGGCGGAGGGCGAGGTCTCCACCCTGACCCACCTGGCAGCAGCCCAGGGCCGGATCTCCATCTCCCAGCTGCAGCCCCAGCCCATCATGACGCTCTCGCTGCAGTCCATCCCCCTGCATCACCAGATCCAGACCCAGGCTCGCATCGCTCCCGGACTCAGCCGGCACCTGCCCAAACGCCTCCTCTCCACGCTCTGCCTGACATGAGCCCCAGCCCCCTTCCCCACCACCCCCTGGGCCGCCCACCTCCCGACTTCCTGACCGTGAGCGCGGACATGAACACAGAGGTGGATGCCCTGGACCCAAGCATTATGGATTTTGCGTTACACGGTACAGGAGAGGGAATGTGGGGGAGCAGAGGGCAGGATTTGTACAATTATGGAGTTGCTAAATACAGAAGTGGGGCTTCAGCCAGCTGCACTGGGGTGGGATTAACTGAGATAAAAACTTGTGCACTGCGGTAGATGTAAGCAGGCGTGCCAGGCTAACGACCTGAGACATCCCATCTCTCTGCCCCTGGGAAATCACAGCTTTACCTGTGCTGTGGTTTTGCCCATTTGTAAAAGGAGAACAACTTTGGTTTATAGAGATGCTTAGCACAGTCCCTAAGTTTCTGGTTAGCACGTGGTAGATAAATGCTGCCCAGAAAGGTTCAGCCTGCTGCTGGAAGAGCCTCTCAGTGCTTTTGCACTACAGCTGGCACCGTCTGCAAGCTGTGCTGTTTCTAAGCAGCACGTAAAACCCTTTAGTTAAGGACTGACCCCCTGCACAGTGCCTGGGCAGGGTGGATGTGTTGCTGTGACTGGAATTTAATCTCTTACAGGTAACATATGGGAGGAAATGAAAGATGACAGCTTCAGCCTTGACACCCTGGGTGCCTTCAGCAACTCCCCGCTGCACCTCTCAGACTGTGACCTAGGCACTCCCGGCCTCACCCCTGCGTCCAGCGGCAGCGACCACTCCTTCTCAGACTTGCAGGTCACGGGCCTTTACACCACCTACACGGCCCTGGACAACGTGGCGGCGGCAGCTCAGTACATGAACCCCCAAGGCAACAAGCCCATCGCTCTGCTCTAAGTTTTGCACCATTCCACGGACCTCTAACTCGGGGGCCAGTTTCTCCCACCCCTTAAAACCTGACCCTGAAAGCAATAAAACAGCTCCTCCTACAGACACGTGGAAGGTGTTGGCTATTTACTGGGACGCAGCGTGTGATGCCAAAATAACTCGAGCTGGTGGCTGTAGAGCTTCTTTCACCCATGCCAGGAGCGAGGAAGGGGCATGGACGGTCAGTGTTGCAGGACTGGAGAGCTCTTAAGGACTTGGAAAACATCAATCAGGAGGAACTTTTACTAGAATGCAGCTGAGCTAAAGACGAGCCCAGTTAAGGAAAATGCATTTACCTGGCACTGTGACCTGGACGTTGATGTTGTCACACACACAGCAGCCAGCGCAAGCCAACGGGCTGCTCAGCACCACGGTGAGGTCCAGAAGAGTTGATCTCGTACCACATTCACCTTTTTTCTTCAATTGCCAAAAGACTGTTGCCATCGAACAAAGCTCACATACAGCCTCTGGAGACACTTGCACCTCTAACACTATTTTGACGTGACTATTGCTAATTTATTGTTATGAGATAGCAAAAAGGAGCAAAAAAAAAATAATAATGAAAAAGCAAATCTATAGCAGACAACTGTTATATCTAGGGTTAAAAACAAAGTCCTTACCCATGAAGGAATTGGTACTACTGAATTATGAAACTGATCACTGGCTAGATGTTTTTAGGAATTATGCCTATTTTTAGGATTTTTTAAAAAAACTAGATTTCTTTGTAGTACTGTGTATCGTGTTTCTGTCTATTCTCGTGCTAGGCAGTATTACTATTTGTAAATTTATTTATATTTATTGTTATGAAAAGAAATTATGTAAACTGAGCACTGTTCAATTTTTTAAAATGCTGCAGTAACCTGTTTTACATCAACTAAATTATTCATATTCAAAAATGCATAAATTTTAATCGCTGTTTGTTACACTACATTTCTTTTAAATAAGCACTTTTGATACTGTGAAACTCATGTTTTTTTTAAAAAAATCAGAGACCAAATATTGTAACTGTTCCATACCAATTCAGAATCGTCTTCCTGTTCTGATGAATCCAAGTAAAACTGATTCTAATTTAGATTTTTAGATTTACAAGCTCTGCTGGATACTTGGTAACACACACTGCAAAAAAAATAATAATTGATGAAACAGTAAAACAAAAAAAAAAGAGAACTGTAAGTTGAAATGTAGCATTTAGTCTACTTATACCTCTGTGACCACGAATAATATTTATATCTCGTGTTTTGTCTGTTCCTGTTTGTTAATAGAGCTTCCAGGTGTCGTGCACGTGGCTGGGGCTGGCCCGAGGCAGAAAGCCTCTCCAGCTGATGTCCAGGTACTAAACACCCACCACAGACCCAAACTTCTTCACAGGTCCCCCCGGGAGGCTGCAGCAGCCCCAGAGCGGGTTCTTCGTGCTGAAAATCGCGGTGGTGAGGGTCAGGGGCCAGGAATTGTTGCGTGGCCGCATCTTCCAAGTGCACACAGCCATGGCAGCCCCTTCCAAACGGGCACGATGGTCCAAATCGTAATTTATTGTTCAAGAACAAATGTGATTAATGATCATTTGCTGTGACTGGTTTCATCTACAATGTCTTCATTTTTTAAAAAATAAATATTATTTCTTAGCATTAAGCCCAGGTCATTCTAGGTGTGCTGCATCTCAATTACTCCAGTGCCAAGCAGGTGGCGCGCTGCAGCTCAGCACCGACCACTGATCCCAGGCAGCTGCTAGCAGAAAACCAACCCAGCCAGGAAATAGTCACACACAGCTTACAGATCAGAAATGTTTGACTCCAGCCACCCTGTCCAAGCGTGCTGAGAAGCAGACCCTTCTCTTAAGTCTAAGACATGTGTTTCCATGCCACCACTACATAAAATGATTCAGTTACTAAGCATTTGTAGCGATCACCTGCAAATGGAAGGGCTTTTTTCTGAAAAAAAGCATCTTTCCTCAGGCTTCCTTATCTTTAATAATGCTATGTCCATGTTAAGGGTTTTCCCTGGCTCAAAGCCTCCAGAAGGGTTTACAGGTACTTACTGCATGAACTCTTCTTCCAAGAGCTGCTCAGTACCAAAACAGCTCCAGGGCAGGAGGCTGCTACCATACATCAGCAGCTGCCATCCCCTCCTCAGACCCTCCCCATTCACACAATGACAAAATAAAAGAGCTCAGGAAAACCTCATTGAGGGCAGTGCTCGTTTTATTGCCGCTGGTTTGGTGGCGTGTTTCCTCCCGCGCGGCGAGCATCGCCCCCCACCTCCCCCTGACAAAGCACAGTGACACTTCCACACCAGAATACATCTCCTCACACCCTTTCCACCCCAACCCAAGGACAAGGAGAGCTCCCCCCACAGCCCCCAGCATGGCCAAGGGGGTATCCAACACCGCCGCATTGCCCCTGAGGTCCCGTAGCCAGAGGTGCTGCAAAGCACGCAGTCAACTTCTCCCCCAGGTGGATCCATCTGATTAGAGGCCACCTGGGAACCAAGGCAGGGGTGCAAGCAGAGACCTGAGCCCGGCTCCTGTCCTTCAGCAGAGGAGCCAGGTCGCTGAGGCCGGGGCAGGGACACCCGGAGTTGTCCTCCCTCCTCTCCAGCCTCTGTGGGAGCTGCAGCACGAGCCAGAAAGGGCAGGACGGGAGAAAGGAGCAGATGGGGCGGTCGCCCTGGTCAAACCATGGCAGCTCCACTGATAAATCTGCAGCAACTGAGCCCAGCACGGCTTGTGATGTGTCCTCTGGGCCACCAGCTATTCATAGTTCTGCCTGCTGTCTGCTCCGCAGCACAGGGAAGGATGAGACAAACTGCTCCTCACAGTTCCTGAGTTTATTTTAAAGCTTCTGTTTGAGACCGCTTTTTCAGCAGGATTTAGATTTCCTCGTGCCAGTGCATGGTCAGCCTCAGAGCTTCTCTGTCCTCTTGGTGCCTCAGCCATTGGGTTTGTACTTCCAGCTCCATCCAGTCTTGTGAAATTTACCTGACACTGGTGCTTGTTTTAAAGGTTAAGGCCAAGTCTTGCGACTAAAACACAGTAAAAGATTTTTAATTCTTTTTTAAAAAATCAGTGTTTGCACCAGGTCCAGGCTCCAGCCTTGGCTCGGGCCAAGTTATCTTCTGCCAAGCTGCCCCTCTGACGAACACCCCCAGCGCCAGAGGGCCCTCCGTGTAGGCGGAGAGAACATCTTCATAGCTTAACATACAAACAGCGGCGTTTATTTAGGCACAAGGTAAGAGTCCAAGGCTCCAGTTCGAGGGCTGAGGGACTGGGCGGGGAGGTGAGGTCTGGCCTCTGAGCAGCAGCGTGTCCCGGTGCCCCTCCTGCCGCCGGCTCAGGACGGGCTGTTGTTGTCCACCGTGGAGAGGAGACGGGCGACCTGAGCCTTCTGCGTGCGGGTGATGTGCTGTGCCATCTGGATGATGCAGTCCATGGCCACCTCGGGATTGGCTTGGACCAGGCTGAAAGGCACGAAGCAAGAGCTGCCTCGTCTCTACCGCCCGCAGGCCCCAGCCCAAGCCATGGTTTTGGCCTTCACGCTCAGCTCCGTGGCCACTCACCTCCGGATGTGCTTGAGTACGTAGTCCCGCTTCAGGTACTTGATGTTCTCCCGGATGGCTGACTTGGTGCCGTCGTCCTCCTGCATGTGCTTCTCCAGCCACTCCACCACCACCTGGTTGTTGTCCCAGAGGTAGCCCTGGGGAGAGCAGCACCGTGTTGGGGGGCCCAGTGCCCACAGACTGAGCCCCTCTTTTGCTACAGCCCTGGGCTTTTTCCTCCCATGGCACAACCAGACAATGGGATTCGTCTTCTCAGTCCTGCATATATGGCATGGCATTCACCCCAGCCCATGTAACAGCCATGGGGAGAGGGGTCAGTATGGAAATCAAAACTCAGAAAAGCTTCACGGACTACTAAAAAAGCAAAAGGTTAAGGGAGAACACGTTTCCTTTGCACCCCTTCACTCCCCAGCTCAGCACGCACGGAACTGAGCTGGTGAGGTGCGTCACAGCACTCACTGCATGCAGCTCAAACACCAAGACCCAAGGTTTCTCTTCTGCCCTGGGAAGCCCTGGTGGATGGTGGAAATGAACAGGCCTGTAGTATTTTTGAAGGACGGGGCCCTGGGGCTCTGTGTACCTTTTCGGCTCCCTCCGTCTCCATGAACCAGCGCCGCAGCATGGACTGGATGTGGATATGGCTCAGCTCGCTGTTGGCGTTTAGGATCTCCATCCTCACCACTTCCTCCAGCAGCAGCCGTCGCAGCCGCCAGTAGAGGAAGGAGCGGGCGTTTTTCCATTCCAGGATGTCCTGCAGAAAGCCCAGGGAGAGGAGCTGACACACAGCAACTGCCTGCTCACAGCTCGTGCTGGCAGGCCTGCAGGCAGATCTGCTGGGCTGCAGCAGAAACCAACACCAGGGGCAGGAAAATGCACAGAGCAGCAGCCCAGGACCCTGCGGGGAATTTTGGCTCCCACCTTCATGCTGCTGCTGCAACCCCAAAGCCACGCCAAGCCCCCTCCCCAGCCCCGCTTCTGCCCTTGCTCACCGTGATGACACCTTTCTCCTGCATGCGGCCTGGGGTGTCGTGCAGGTCGGCGAAGCGCACGGCCACCTGGTAGTAGATGGGCAGCAGGAGCTCCTCCCGGGCCTTGAGCTGCTTCTCCAGCTCCTTGCGCTGAGCCTCGGACAGCTCAGGTGTCCCTGCAGGGGCAGACGGCTGTCATTTCCCAGCAAGGGGCCTGGGCTCTGCTCGCTGTTCCTATTTCAGCCATCCCGATGTGATATCCCTCTGTTTCGGCACATCTGCAGCCCCGCCCAGAGCCCGGCCGCAGAGCCCCATGTCTGTGAAGGGGCCGTGCTGTGCTCAGTGCCTGCCACCACACAGACACTTCGTGGGACTGTGTTTAAGCAAGGTTGGGGGGGGAAACCCTCCCAGCACAGTCCCACCGCCTGCTGCAGGCAGGAGCATATCGCAGGGCAAAAGGAGCCCTGGTTCATTAAAGGAAGCTTCTGTGCCCTTCCCTTACCCAGCTGCTCCACAAGCCTGGCATAAACCGTATCGATCCTTCTCATGGTCTTCACCAAGTCTTTCTTCCTGAACTTGATCTCCACTGTTCCCCCAGGCTCCAAAATGCCGCCCCTGGAAGGAAAGTTTGGTAAAGCAGGGGCAGGTCAGCAGGGGACAATAAGCTCTGGGACAAGGCATTGCTGCTGGTGGCAAAGTGTGGCAGTTCAGGCAACTCCCTCTTCTAAGAATTAGGGACAGAGAAAACCTAAAATAACGTTGTTTCCAATCTGGGATCCTTGGCTATTCTCCCTCTCCTTACAGCTTGCTCCAATGCACGTTAATTCAGGCTAGAGAAACCCTCCAGCTCCCCAAAACAAAGCTCTCACTCCCTGCAGCTTTTGCTGGACACCGGAGGATCTCCCCAAGGAGATCCTTGCCATACTGCTCCCACACTGCTTTGTAAGAGCCCAGGGACTTTTAGCTGATTGAGCAAAAACTCAGCAGCAAAAAATAGAAGTCTCTGGTGATCGGCGGTCCCCGTGAGCAGGACCCTGACTCTGCAGACCCCGTGTGTCAGGCTGTGCGGGATGCCCACGGTTTGGATGGAGCACTGAGGCTGACCTGCTCTCCTTGTCCGCGTAGAGCTCCACGTACAGGGGGTTGATGGTGGAGTCGATGACCACCCAGGAGCCGCCCCGCAGCTCCGCGTGCGGCGGGATGTACACCAGGATGGGCTGCTTGAAATCCCGCAGGCTGTCGACGATGAAGGCGCCGAACTTCAGCATTTGGTCGTACATGTCTGAAAGCCAAAGGGACTCAGTGGCTGGGCACCCCGAGTGCCTGCAGGGTGGGCTGCTGCCCTTTACCTCCTCTCAGCCTTTTCCAGTCTAGCTGCCCAAAGCCTTTTTCCTCCAGCAGAGCCTAAACAAACCCCTCAACGCAGCCCAGTGGGAAGCCACCAAGCCCTGGAACTTGGGTCCTGCAGCATCCCATCACCTCTCCATCCCAACCCCATGTCCTGGAGCTGCCGGGCAGGACCCTGCCATGCTGGGTCACCCCAGGACCCCGATGGGTGGCAGAGGGGCTGGTGGCACAGATCTGGGTCCCCCAAGTGCTGGTACCTTTCATGCCACTGGAGAAGCCCCTCCAGTTGGCGAAGATCATCAGCGGGAGGTGCTCCCGGTTGAAGTCCCGAATAGCTTGGGCTGTTTTAAAGGCAGAGTCTGGGAACCAGACCTGCCCCGCCTGCTGGATTATCTGGAAGAGACAGCAAGCAGCGTCGCTGAGACCAGTGTCAGCGCTTCCAGGCACACTGTGCCGGCAAGGCAGCAGCACACAGTGTGTGAGGGCTGGAAGGAGACAAACTGAGAGCAAACATGCTCAATTTCACCAGGATTTAAGGAGAATCAGGACATGCCAAAAGATTACACTAAGCTTTTTTTCCCTGCTTTCCCCTCCAGCCCCCCTGCTGCACACTCTTCCCTTGCCACTCAGTGGCACTGAGGTCTCTCCACGCACCTTCGCCTCCGAGTCGGGGTTGGCAGGGTCTGCAGGTATGGTCACCTCCACAGGGCGGGTCTCCACAGCGATGACACCCACGGGGAGCCCTCCCAGCCTGCGGCAAGGCAGGGTGCCTCAGCAGGGGCCGGTTCCCCTGCATGCTGCAGCCCTGCTCCACCAGAAA